TTACTTTAGTTTTGATGCAAAAACGCATGATCGCACCGGCTCCCCTGGTGCGTTCCAGCCTTTGTTATTAGAAAGTTTTCATGCATATGGGATGAAATGAATTGTTTTTCAGTTATGGGGTATCATTCGACAAGGATACAAATGTCGGGATTGTGGACTTGCCGTGCATCGAACATGCAAGGATAGTGCCGTTGCTGAATGCCGTAGGTTATCAACAAGTTCAACAAATAATTGGTGGACTACAACACCCGACTCAGCAAGGTCCAGCAGAAGGCTGCTACCTGGCATCAAGTGAATTTTTGAGATTTTTCAATAAACTGGCTGCACTGGTTCGCGGAGATAACTTCCCAGTGACAGCAAACCTAATTTTTGTCGATGTTTTTCCGTTCTCTTTTCCTGCACCGCGCAAAATCGTTTAACCATAATTTCAAGTTGCAACGAGTTCCAAAATTCAGTGTATATCGCAAACGCCATGAGTTTCTTGTTATGTTCTGCCAATGTCACAGAACAAATGGTTGTTGGGTTGGCCCATTTGAATGGTGATAAGGTGCATGCCGCGAAAAATCGGGCCCACAAAAGATGACCTGATTTAAGATGAGATTTTTGGGGCCCTTCCGCCTTTTGATTTTGTTGATTTACCGGTTAAAGCCTGGCCGAGGAATTTGCAAGTTGCGGGACTCATGATTTTTTTCGTGCTCATGCCTGTTTTTGTACTACGCCTGAGAAGTATACTACGTTTTTTTTTTTTTTTTTTGCATTTGTGGCACATAACTGCCATATAGTATTTGGGAAAAATATAGCCGAAATTTAGCCAAAGGAAATGCTACTCATTTCAGAAAGTACTACACTACGTGGGTCAGAGTATGTGAAAGAGGAAAAATCACTCAAAAATCTTTTTAAGTGTCAAAAGCAGCGCTGTCAAGACTTTTGGATACAGCGAATATTATAGATCTATATTACCACTACTTTACCAAATGCTTCCTTTGTGGTCACAGGTCAATCTCACGACTACGAACTGTAAGTACGACATCGGAACACGATACCATGGACGACTCTGCAGCAGAATGTTCGGCGTCGTCGACTTGCAAAGTGTTACTGAATTTGCGATCTTATGCCAAAAAAGACCGTGCAAAATCGGAAACAAACGACTACTATCAGTAAGCACAATTTATTCTTTATAACGCCATTAGTTGTCTTTTTTTTTCTTGGTACTTCCGGGTTGTACGGTAACTATAACATGAAACAGATTTAGTGATGCACAAGCACTGCAAAACTGTGGAAGTCTTAAGACCTGTTTTCGAAGTTAGCGAAAGAGGCGCGCATACAAATCTTGGCTATCTTTAGCAAAATGCAGTTCTATCTCACTAATGTCGTAGGGTAAAAACTGCAAGAAAACGAATCTGTAAAAAGGAAGAGGTTAATTGACATGGAATAATTAGTGAATTGCGCATGATCCAGTGAATGTAGGAAATGGTTTTGTTTTGTTTTGTAGATCCATTAATCTGTCATTTGATACAAAAAAAAAAACTTTTGGGTACGTTTAAGAAAAAAAAAATCTGGATTTTATTTATATATGAGGTTATAGTTTTGGCAAGCTTAGTTAAAAGAGTATCGAAAATTTTTTCACCAAAACATTTCAGACCCTAATTCAATAATCCTGAACCTTGCTTTCTTAAAAAAAAACCTACAGCTTCTTACAGAAGCTGATACCGCTCCACCTGAATTTGCACATTACATTCCTTTTACACAGCTGATTGCTACGGCCATACCTCATTTCTTTCATTTTTTAGCTTGAAGAGGATTCGCTTATCATCATTTCTTTACAAATATATGTTTTACTTAATGAGACAAAGCGCAAAAAATTTCGATTTTTAATAAATTTTTCACTTTAAGAGTTGCTAGTTCACCGGAATCGCCGAATACCGATCTAGTACCGTCGCTGGCGTGCGAAGAAGTGTTCGACGATGAGTCATCCTGTGTCTCAGTTTCTGAAATGAATGGTACCAGTAATAGCGCTGTACGGTGATAGAGAACAAATGTGTTATTGGTTTATTGTTGTTGTTTTTTAATTTATTGTAAAGTCATCTAAATTAATTTGCTTTTCTCAAACTGGGGAATGATCAAAGAGGGAGTATAAAGCCTATTTTCCAGTAGCCTAGGGATACCTCTGAACTTATGTAGCTTTCAGATTTAAAGAACTGAATTAAGAAGAGGAAACCGGGGTGCTTATTTTACCTAAGTTGACGAGCAAATTCAGCGCGTTGAAAATAAGTCTGAAAAACGATATAAGTAAATCGAAACAGATTACTGCGCTGCCAAATATGATTTCGTGCTCCAACTGC